GAGGTTTTTACTCACGAAAGTTTATGCCCAAATAAATCTGTTAGTCTTTAAGGTGCCACCAGACTCCTTGTTGTTTTTGTAGATACAGACTAACACGGCTACCCCCTGATACTTAACAAACACAGAGTCAGTAGGAATGGAAAGGATGCTGTTTCTTAGACACTAGACAGTTAGTTATTGCCAACTGAAAAACAAAAGCACTCTGCAACTTGAGAGTATCAACAGAAAATGTGTAATTTCGCATACAGCACATCTGCAGGGATAAAACAAAAGTGAAAGCATGGGAAATCTCTTAACAGGTATTTTTAATATTAAATCAGCTTTTTCTACTTGCAAATTAACCATATATGACAGAATAAAACCGGGAAAAGGGCATTTCAAGAAATTTATTTGTATCACACAATACTCTTTTCCTGGGCAATTACTTAGAGCTCCAAAAATGAGTATAAAATTGAAACTATCTATGACAATTAAACATGGAAAACCAGACACATTTTAGTGGAAAATAAAACAGCAAGTGCAAGCTTCTCAGATATAAAATTCACTTATTAGATAACAGACGGTTGCTGAAACTCTGCATGCTACATTTCCACAATAATTTAAAGTGGCAGTAGCAGTGACCTCATTCAATCTGATTTATATGATTAGGCCAGAATCATTATGGCATCCAACTATTTTCTGACAGCAGTTTTACAACAACGGTGTTTTTAACACAGAGAGAGAGAATGCAAATTGAAAATTCAGAGTAGATAGGGTAAAAATTTAATAGCTGGAAACAAATGACGTCTACAACGAGTATATAATTTGGTGAGCAGATATGAACTCTACAATGTTCATTTGACTCTTTCAATTTTCAAATGCCTTTAAAATATTAATTAAGATGATACAGATAACTTAACCTCAGTTTTAAGAAGGGAACACTCATGAGAAGAGTCTATGACTCACCCAAAGCTACAGGGGAAACCAATATCACAGCTGGGATTTCGACCCCAGGAGTTCCTGACTCCTGGTCGTGTGTCCAGAACACATGCTGCTCCCTCTCTCAATAAACTAGTTCAATTTGGGGTTTAAAATCTTTAAAGCATTATAAAAAAATTGATTTGCATAGATATTTTCTAGTGGCACAAAAGCATAACATTGAGTAAGTGGTGTCTAGAAAAAGCATGCCAAGTGAATGGCCTTCATTAGCTCTAGCTCAGGTCTGCTCAACTGCATGAAAAACACTAATGGAACGGTTAGTGTGAGCTATCAGAAAGCACTGGTGCACTTCATTTAGCCCCTGCATATTTCACTGCTATTGAATATTGCATGTTAGACCCGGGTGGCGTTTCAATTCCTGTGTCACATTAGGAACCCTGTTTAAAAAATAAAAATGAAAAGATAAGAAAACGCGCTTAGTAAAACAAACTGGCATGAGATGCTCACTTGCCTTTAAGTCCCCAGATTGTTCTCTGCATTGCGGCTGTTTCGGAGTAGAGCTGGTCTCTAAGGGCAGGTCTACACTACTGCTTAAGTCGATCTCACTTACGTCTCTCAGGGGTGTGAAAAAGCCCCCCCCAGAGACGCAAGTTTTGTGCTATCCACACTGGCGCCGTCTCCTGCCGACATAGCTTATGCTTCTCCCCAAGGTGGAGTAATTATGACGACGGGAGAGCGCTCTCCCGTGGGCATCGAGTGTCTTCTTCACCAGACACGCTACAGCAGCGCAGCGGCATCGGTGTAGCGCTGTAGTGTAGATGTGTCCTAAGATGTGAAGAACCAGAAGAGTTCCTTCGGGGGGCGCTCTCTTTACTCTGTATTTCAGTTTCGGTCGAGTGCCCTCAGGGCAGCTCTGCTACAAGCCATGTAGAAGCTGTATGAACTAGCAATGAGAAGTACCCAATACTGCTATCGCATGCACGGATGCAACCCTGATGAAATCAGAGGCTGAACTGGTGAGAGAGTCGAATGTAACTCATGTAGCTTCACGTGTTGATCTACACTTCTGCTTTTCAAGTGGAACTCATTTAATTTGTCTCAGCTGCAAGATCTACTCCTACTTCGAAATAAAAATGTTAAGCAAGTTTGGGCCACGTGGCCAGACACGGCCATGTGGCCAGACACACCCATGGCTGGTGCTCTACCGCTAACTACGATAGAGTGATGTGGCTCCTACTGAAAAGATTTTTTTCACGTGGCTTTGGCAATACTGTATTTGTGCCAGGGAGAAGTACATAATGGTGACATTTATCAGACAGAAGGATGGTTTGCTCAGGAAATGGATGAAGCTCTATAGGTTGAGATATTGAAAACTTGGCCTGAACACAGCACTGGAGAATACACCTTAGGGACTGATTCTGAACTGGCTAGGGATGGATTAGAGCAGGGATAGTCAATAGGCAGACTGCAGGGCAAATCCGGACCACCAGACCCTTTGGAACAGACCCTGGAATCTTTTTATTAATTATTATTATAATTGTTGTTGTTATTGTTTTTATTTTCTCTGGAGTCTGAACTTTGACTACACCTTGACCAAGAAATCTGGACCCTGACAAAAAATAAATTGACCATCCCTGGACTAGAGGATCACCTAAGACCTTTTCCATCTTTAACTTCTACGACTGACATCCAGCTTAAAAAAATATCCATTTATTCAAATGATAAAGACTAATAACCCAGCCATTAAAACTTTTCTGGACTTTTCCATTTTCTCAGCTTAGAGTCTCCTCCCGTCATGTCTACAGCTTTGAAGTAAGCACATCTAGGAAGGCTGGTTCATTGCAGAAAGGCGGAGGCCTTTACCGCTTTAAATGGTTAACAACCTCCACTAATAAAAGGACCAGGGGAAAGGAAAGCTATATAGTAACACACTGCAGCAGCAGCAGCCACCACACAGTCCAGCAGAAACTAGAGTCATTTGCAGGCTTCAAAGTACAATACAGATCCCTAGATACTAAAGGAAGGAAGCTATAAACAGGGGCATTAAGTTTTCTCCCATTGGCATACAGCGTCTTCACAGAACCATAGGACTGGAAGGGACCTCGCGAGGTGTCTAGTCCCGTCCCCTGCACTCACGGCAGGACTAAGTATTATCTAGACCATCCCTGACAGGTGTTTGTCTAACCTGCTCTTAAAAATCTCCATTGATGGA